CGAATATATTATGCAGGTGATTCAGTCAATAAAATGAAGATTTTTGATTTTTTATCGAAGAAAAGTTTCGAATAAGGCACCAAGTTGGACCAAAATTGCAAATTTTTCGAAAGATAATTTCTTTTTAACGATTTTTTACCTCGTTTTGAGTTGACGATCTGTTTATTTCAATGTTCAAATTCTTAAAAAGAGTTTATATCTAAAATTATTCTTTATTTTCGTTCATCATTCCACAGACGAGGGCAAATGATCTGAAAACCAAGCTTGCCTTGGCAATCAAGCGTCAAATGATCAAGGCTATTCATGCTGGTATCCCTGGATGGGCTGATGAACCCGAAGAGCAAAAGGAAATGTTGGCCAAATACAGGAAATATGGTGATCAGGTAGGTCATCAGCTTAGTTGTTGGTCATGACTGTCGGTATATCTGTTATTAATGATGATTACCTATCAATTTTGTTAATTCATTACTAATTACTTACATTTTTGACATTCTCATTTCCAGTACACACCTGAGGAAGCTGATTGGTACGGATATACCATATTGGATGCAACTAATCGCATAGGTAGGTTGAATGCAGTCATTGTTCACATATCATTCTGTAATTTTGTTCTAATCGCATAGCAAAAATCCTTCGAGCTGAAGCTGAAGCCAAGATTGTCCCTTTGAAACATGAGTTTCGGCGAAAGCTCATCGAAGATTTGAAAGAATCTGGCATGGAAAATGTTGAGCGCATCGTTCGCACGGAACAAGGAAAAATTGTTGATTATTCTGGAGATGAGTAAGTTTCACTTTGATTTCCACATTTTGAGCTCAGTCCATCAATCCATTCATTTTAATTGTCCATTTTTGTCAAATTAATTCTAAAACCATTTTTTTCTCTTTGCTTTTTTCAGGAAAAAATCGTGGATTTCGAAATTGAACCCATTCTCAAAGAAATAGTCGAACAAAGATAGCAGTTTAATTAGTGTTTTTAATGAATTTCGAATATTGTATTGTTAAATAAAGAGCTGCGAGCAATCGTAAGCACCTGTTGTTTTACTCACGTTTCAATTCATCTATTCGTCTGTCAGCAGCCAATAGCAATGATTCATTTAGGAATAATAAAACAGAGGAAAGAAGAAGAAGAAAAACATCGGGCAATTTTCCAAATACGTCAATATGAGAGTTTATTCAACCAAAAGTCAGTTCTTAATATGTAATTTTCACGTATGTGTACAATGTTCGATTTTTGCTTAAACAATGCCGCCACCGGCACCAGTGACAATTGATTCATTTGCCCGATGCATCAAGTGAGCGCATTTACAATGAACAGAAGAAAAAATCTACATGCAAAATACAATTAAAAACTTTCATACACGCTACAACTAAAATGATTGATTAACTCTTAATGTGCTGAATCTCTAAATGCAGTCGAACATTAATTTAAAAGAAATAAATTATTTACAAAAGAGAGAAAGTAATGGCATTTTGTTATTTGTTTTATTTTATTCTTGTTGCTGTCATTGATTTTGGTTTCTTTTTTGTATGTGTATGTGAATTTTCTTTGAAAATAAAGAGAGAGAAAAGTGATTGTATCAGAAGAATATTTGTTTTGCAAAAATATTTTAAAAAGAAAATTTGGCTTCAAAGTTAAAATTATAGTCGGCTCTGTGAAAAGGCACCAGTAGATAAAACCAGAGGCATTTCTGAATTTCGTTAAGGCTCAATTCGATGCGTTCAATTTGTTGAATTTTGGTGAATTTTGAATTTGACTTTTTACAAAAGTGTTTCTGTTCCGAATATTTTCTCTCAATAAATTGTTTGTTTTGTTTTTTCGTGTTTTATTTGTTTTTTCGTGTTTTATTTGTTTTTTCCATGAGTTTTCCATACACTTTCATTATACACATATCACTGAGTTTGCAATTTGTCTCGGTTTGAAAAAAAAAATTAATCGTCGAATCGTTTTCTTGTCTTATCGAATACGTTCGCGTTCATTCCTAAAGTTACAGCTAACAAAAATCGTTAAAAATTACTTAAATATGATTTCGATTGCATATATCGTTTCGTATCATTTTGGATTTTAGGAGACTCTAGTGTCTAAATCAGAATTCTTGTCAGGTGTATCTGTCTGTATTTGTGTATTTTAAAATGTATTTGTGTTCGTTTATTCTGTTAATATAATCATAGTTTGTATAGTTTGTTTCTTATTCACTACACGTGTAGCTGCGATTAAATGCGAAGGTAATAAATTCGCAAACAAAACGGGACTAAACCAAAAAACAAATAGAAGTGAATTATCAAAGCGTCAAATATACAAGAAATAAAATCTTATTGAATAGCTAGCTTATACCCCTACTACTAGACGATTTGACTGGATCCATCTGTTTGAATTTTGATCAGTGTTTTCTTTATTCGCAGCGCGGTGAGTCGTGCCGTTGGCTTTGGATGCCATGCTTCGACCATAATTTTCGATAGGACTTGAAGAATCTCCTCATCTTGCCATCTCTCTGGGATGGGTGGGCGAATCTTTTGTGAGCACACAATGTCGTACATATCTTCAAAGCTTGGATCGGATGGAACCATATCGTGATATGGTAAGGCGTAATCTTCGGATGCGGTGCTCTTGGTACCGGGAATTGTGGTCACACAACGACGAGCCATTTCCCAAAATACCAAACCAACCGAGTAAATGTCCGCGTATTTGAACGAATCGAATTGCGTTGGATTCAATGATTCGTCCAGCACTTCTGGTGCCATATATCGGCGTGTTCCGACACGAGTATTCGGTGCAATGTGGATTTCATTCAATTCACTGTTGTACTTGACAGCCAAACCAAAGTCAGCAATGGCACACTGTCCGTTGCGTTTCACTAGAATATTTCGGCTCTTGATATCGCGATGCGCAATGGCTGGTTTGCCTGGTTTGCTGAAGATTTCCATGTGCAAATGCGCCAATCCGGCAGTGAGTGAATGGGCCAACTCTTGCAACTGACGTGGGCTAATCACGTGCATCTGGAGATAATCGTGTAGGCTACCATTTTCATGGTAATCGGTGATCAAGAACATTCGCGTGTAGCTTCCGGTTCCGCTGATATCGGCAGCAATGAAACCCAAGATGTTTTCGTGACGCATCAATACGGTTTGGTAGATTTCTGTTTCACGGAACCATGACGCCTCTTCAGTGGTGAAGAAAACTTTGACAGCAACACGTTCTTCACGCCATTTGGCCAACCAAACTTCACCGTAACGTCCACGTCCGACTGACTTTTCCAGTTGAATTTGCTTGGCGA